TTAGTATCTTTCCTGACATCAGTCATGCACAGAGGCCTTCTGTCAGTCCTTGGAGGAAATCACCTCGGGTCTTGCATCTTCTGAGTTTCTATTTTTTATTTTTATTTTTGGTACTGGGATCAAACTCCAGACCTTGTGCTTGCCAGGCAGGCACTTATTCCCCTGAACTGTCTCCCCGGTCTCTGGTTTTGCATTTTATGCTTTCTGTAGAGCTGCACAGAGAGCATCTCATGGCCGACTCTGTCCCAGGAGTTTGCTCTCAAACTGTTACCTGGCGTTCAGGTCCACAGTGCTGGCTGCTCCCCAAGGAACTCAACAGACACGGTGGGAAGAAGGGGCTTATTAAAAAATGGCTCAGAAGGAGATGAAGGGGACTTGATTGCTTGTTCAGGTGTACAGGGTTTATTTTTTGCAAGTCAGAGAAAGAGAAAACGAGAGAAGAAGGGAGAGAGTGAGGGGGGCAATAAACAAGAAAATTCCCTCCCTTTTTTGGTCATTTTGAGAAAAGGTCTCACTATGCAGTTCAGGCTGGCCTTGAGCTCACTGTGGAGCCCAGGCTGGTGTCAAACTTGCAGATTCTTTTGCGTCAGCCTCCAGAGTGCTGGAGAACAGGAGTGTGCCACCCTGCCTGCCAAAAATATCCAACTGTAACATGATTACATTTTTTTAAAACTGGGAATCAAACTCAGGACCTTGTACATTCCAGACAGGTGCTTGTGCCACTGGGCCATATTCCCAGCCCCCTAAATACTAATTGTTAAAGATCCAAAGCAAATAGCACCACCTCTGGGAGGGCTTCTCCAAGTACCACTGCAGCTCAGGCTCCAGTCCCTCGCCAGCAAGATGAAGTGGTTTTATCTCCTTTACAGCACTGTCTGAGCTCATTTATTTCCTTGTTTGTTTGTTTGTTTGTTTGTTTGTTTATTATCTGTCTCCCTCTCCCCACTCTTACACCCCACATCCAGGAGGGTGGGGGTGATGTATGGCTCATGCTGTGTACATCATAGATGTTCAATATCTGATTTTGAAAAGTAAATACATGAATAAATGAGTGAGTGAGTGAGATCGGAGAGTTAGCATTTCAACTCAGATTGGTCTTATCTCTTCCACAGAGAGGTTCAGGTTCCACCTAAGAACAAAGTTTCACCAATGAGTCTTTCATAATCGTCATTATCAGATGACTTAGTTATTTATGAGCATTTGCCAAATTGCCTTTAATGGTCTGAGTGCCTCAGCTGGGGTGATTGGCCAGGATAGGCCACCATGGACTACTAAAAAGTAATTGCAGTACAGCTAATGTTTTCTGGATAAGGACTCTGATTTCTGATCATTCACATCACTCTCTTTGATCCAGGTAACAGCACCTGGAGTTGCCTTCAATACCAGCATCCTCAGAGATTCAGAGAGAGGGTTAGGACTAGCCAATCAGAACACGTCATCCCCCCACTACAGTGATTTGTTGAGGGCTTGACACGTGACTCAAACATAGCCAATCAAAGCATCGGAAATCTATACTGCAGTCATAGCTTAAGAATTGGGCCCTCAAAGGAAGACCTATTTTAGGACTTCTACTGGGATTATTGGAAATGGCACATTGTCATCCTTTTGGATGTGTTAAACTGGAGGATGTTATTGTGGAGCTGCTGGGGCTCATCTTTCTCCTAGGAGAGACTGCCCAGCAATGAGGCTAACATATAGGGAAGAAATAGTTGCTGGAGAAAGAGATTTCTGATGACATCATTCAAACACCTGAGCCAGCGTGAGCTGGGACTTGGTTACCAGCATCCCAAAGAACACTGACTGAGAGGAAAAATGAAGTACCAACCATGGTGGGTTTTATTTGGACAGGGTCTCGCTATGTAGTTCAGACTGACCTTGAACTATGTAGGTCAGCTGACCTCAAACTGAAGGCTGTCCTCCTGCCTCAGCATCCCAAGTGCTAGCACTATAGGCGTGCACCATACCTGGTAAGAGCTGTGTTTTGAGAGGACACGACTCCCATCTAGCAGAGATTAGGGCTGGATGAAAGAAGGGAGGGTTAATCAGCTTCCAGAGGGAACAGAAGAAGAATCTAGCAGGTTCCTGAGAGCTGCAGAATCCATCCAAGTGAAGCACTAAAGACCAAATGATAGTATGACTTTACCTGAAGAGGTGCATTCTTGGGGTGACTGCAGCTCCCCCACTAAAATACAACCCAGCCTTGCCAGAAGAACTTACTGTACCCCTCCTTTCTTGGGGGAAAAGGAGGTCACTAAAAAGGATTTATAATTGTGGATCCTTCCTTTTCCTTTTGAGATGTAAGGTGTGTCTGTCCCACTCAGGAGCACCATTCCCCGCAGCCCATTTTTAGGTTTCGTGCTTACAGCCCTGATTGTGCAAGGTAAGCACCTTTACCACTGAGCTCCACACCTGGCCCCTGGAGCCATTCATTTGAAATGAAGTCATCAGGAACAGTGGGGCTCCTGGCAGTCCACACATTTCTCCTTGACCACTTTCCAGTTCTGTCCCTCTCTGCAGCCATTCGGAACTTTTTCTGCTCCAGCAATAGTTCAGACGATTTTTGGTTCAGCTTTTCCTGGCTAAACTTCACGTTCACCTACCAGTGCTTGCTTTTTGTTTTTTACAGTTTCAAAAATTTTGAGACAAGAGTCTCAGGCTGGGCCTGGCTTGCAATCCCGCTGCCTTATTCACCCAGGCAGCTGGGATCAGGGGGCCGGAACACCGTGATTGGCCCACCTGCTGCTTCTGAACACGCGTGTTTGTTTCTACTGCTTATTGTTTAATGCTACAACCTGTAGCACAAGGGTTAAAATTCTCAGTACTTACGCTTCTGTGACAACACACCTCTCTGTCAGTGTGTGCTGGAGGGTCACAAAACACTGCACTAATGAGGATTCAAAACAGCACAAGATTAAAGTAAGCCATCCTTTCGGGGCTGGGGATTTAGCCCAGCATAGAACGCTTGCCCAGCAAGTTTGAAGCCCTGGGTTTGGTTGTTAGCACCAACAAAATGAAACAAAACAAAACCATCATTTCCTTCCTGAGCTAATGTTATGCCTTTTCCAAAAAGGTCAAAGCAGGTAGAAACCCTCCTGTAAATCTACAGAGGTTTACAACTTCGATGTATGACTTTAGTTAGAATACAAGCTTTCCCAGAAGGTGATCAGAGAGCAGGGAGTCCTGGAAAATGCATTTGTAAGTTTGTGGACTTCCTTCCCTGATGCATGCCAGATCTGCCACCCTGAGGTCGCTGGAACCTTCCTTGGGGAGCCACTGCAGTGGAATCCTGGCTGGAGGAAGCTGAGAAGACGAGTGGTGTCTTGCAGTGGCCTTGTTGGCTGCCCTGCAGGCTGTAGGGACCAACCTGGCTTCCCTTCCCACACATCAGCCGGAGGGAAAGTGGAAGTTGTGCAAGGGCTGTTCCCACCCTTAGTTTTGGAGAACCTGGAGTTGGGGTGCTGGAGTGTCTGGGTGTTTCCTGAGTCACCCTCAGACCAGCTGCGTGCATCTGGGGCGCTCTGCTGAGGGAGGTGAGCTCCAGGCTGGAGCCAAAGTGTTACAGTAGCAGCAGTCACTTTAAAAAAAAAAAATGTATTTAGTACAGGGTCCACAGGGTCTCACTATGTAGAGCGGACTCATAGTGATCTTCTTGTTTTCAGCCTCACAAGTGCTGGGATTACAGGCACGCGCCTCACAAGTGCTGGGATTACGGGCACGCGCCTCACAAGTGCTGGGATTATGGGCACGCTCCACTATGCCCAGTCTTAATCACCGTCTCAGCGTGTCCCGGGGGCGGGGCCTGCACGGCACACCGTGCGCTCTGCCTAAGCAGGCACTTTAGTCTGCTGAGTTATCTGGCTGGCTCTAGCAGCAGTTACTTTTTCATAGTTTAGTGGTGCTGGGAGCAGCTGTCCCCTGGGCTGGTGGGCTCTGTTTTGTGTCATCTACAGAGGCAGTTTCTTTTTCCTCCCTGCCAGAAGGCATGCAGAGGTCCTTCCAGGGGACAGCCTGACCCCCCATCAGATGCACACAGAAGTCCCAGCATGCAACCTGTTCCTGCAATGTTTGGAAAACTCAAGGGCAATAGAGCGGGAGAGGAAAACAAATCACTCAAAATGTACTGTGTGTGTATGTGTGTGTGTGTGTGTGCATGTGTGTGCGCGTGTGCAAGTTGGGAGGGGATGCATATTCTGAGTTGGTTATTCAGAGAAACTGACTTAGTCCTGACACAGCCTGAGAGCAGACACAGAGGAGCAGCCCCCAGGCCGTTCACCTGTTACCCATTAAAGCCTGGTCTGTGTTTTCTCCTCCCAGAAACTTGCTTTTCTGGAAGCTGACTCTTCACTTGGGCCTGCAGATGCCAGCTGATACTGAAAAGCAGGGAAACTTGACCTTCCTTTCACGAAACTCTTTGAACTGCCGCCGCCGCTGCCCTAGCTCCGGGCTCTGTTAGTCATCCAGGAAGTCTGTTTATCAGTACTGGGCTTTCCTAACCTGTCCCAGTGCCTTTGGGGCTGGCGGTGCCCACACCCTAAAGTCTCCATGGCCCTGAGCCCACAGTCACCTTGTGACCCAGCAGAGCCCCACATGGCTGAGACCCCTCCATGGGCCTGACTTGCCTCTCTAGTCCCGAGAATCCAACCTGAGCTATGAAGCCAGGATTGAGGTAATGATCGCCCCAGCACCCCAATGACCCCTAAAACTGCTGTCTTCAGTTCTTTTGTGAACAGACCAGGGTGATCCTCTCACAAGGTGCTCTCCCTCTAGCTGCTGGGGTCCCCTCCCTATTTTCTCTCTCATTTTCCAATTACAGCTTCTGCCTATAATTTTGTTCTGTCACTTTTGTTTTGCTTTCTATTATCACTGAAGCGAGGACCTGCACTAGCTGCTGACAAAACTACAGACCCCTACAGGCGCAGGCATGGCTTGGAAAAGCTATCATTTGTTGTTGGTAGTTTGAGACAGAGGTTCGCTTTGTAGCCCAGCCTGGCCTTGTCCTTGTGGCATCCTCTTGCCTCAGCCTCCAGAGTGCTGGGGTCACAGGTATGCACCACCACGCCCAGTTCCAAGCTGTTCTTTCATAAAAAGAAATTATTTGTCTACATTAGTAAAGTTAGCTGGGGATAAAGGAAGAGTGGATTTTCTGATGTCTACCTCCATGTTTCTGCATGTTTTTTTCCCTCCACAGAAAGAAAATACTGGGAACCTCACACAGATAGAGGTGACCTCAGGTGGCTGTTACCTGAGAGACTTTATTTGCTGGAAAAAGGTAACCTTTGCTAGTGAATCTGCTCCCCTCAAATTCTCACAACCTGAGCCACCTCCTTTTGTCCCAGAAGCCTTTACGCCTCCATCACTTTACTACCGTAAGATATAGTCCTGAGCCTCATACTGAATGTGTAGCTCTCATGCTTAGGTATGTAATAAAATTTGTGTCCCTTTTCTCGTTGGCTGCATACTGTCAGTTCATTTCACAGACTAAAATTATAGAAATTTAAGGACAAAGAGTAAATTTGAGATTTTTCAGGTTAAAGTCATTTTCAGCCATGGTTGATACATCAGTAGGAGGGAAGAGACTGATTTAAATGAGACAAGACTGGGCTGGTGAGATGGCTCAGTGGTCTAAAGCACCTACTTGGAACAAGCTTAGCAAAGCACAGGGACTGAGGTTCAATCCTCCAGCACCACATGCCAGCCAGCCCCGCCCCCTGGTGGGTGAGCTGGCCACACACACACACATAAATAAATAAAATTAAAAAAAAAATGAGACTGTTGAAATTTTTTTTGGTCTTTTTTTTTGAGACAGGGTCTCCCTGTGCTGCTCAGGCTGGCCTCGAGCTCACTTTGTAGCCCAGGGTGGTCTTGAACATCTCCCAATGATCCTCCTGCCTCAGCCTCCCAAGTGCTGGGGTTACAGGTATATATCACCACGCCCTGCTTGAACTGTTTAAATATAAAGATCAGTCACAGACAGTAATAACTCCACAGAGGCAACTGCAGAGAGAGAGAGATGTCAAAGCTCCTGACTCTTTGTACTTTTTGAAAAAAAGAGGTGTCATTGCCAGGGATGGCAGATTATGAGTGAAGACAGGCAGTCGAGCTCGGGATGCTGAACCTGGCTCTCAGGCTGTAGCAGCATCAAGCTCTGGCATCCGCACCCTTTTCCTTTTCTCACATCAGAGAAACAATGTGTTCTTTAAACATGACTCACCAATTTTTTTTTTTTTTTTTTTTTTTTTAGTATAGAGAAGCAGCTACAACCTTGTAAAAAGGAAGCAGTAGGGGACAGGAAATTAAACCAACCAAATTACTCCAAAATAGGGTATAAGTCATCCGATACGTTGTGTCTGCCTAAATAAGGAAACAAAGTCTGAAAGGTAAGGGATATTTTGTGTTTGAGCAGTGCTGGGGCACTGAGGATCTGGATTTAATAATTTAGCACTTTTTTTTTTTTTCTTTTTGAGGCAGAATTTCCCTATGCAGTTCAGGCTGGCCTTGAGCTCCTGTTAGAGACCAGGCTGGTCTCCAACTGGCCAGGAGTCTCCTACCTCAACTTCCAGAACGCTGGGATTACAGGCATGTACCACCACACCTGACATGATTTATCGCCTTAAACTATCTCATTCAGAGATTAGTAGAGGCACTCAGCTAGCTCAAATCTTGAAAAATAGCCAATTATGTCTGGGAGAGGGCCATTTAAAAAACTCCTGTTTTGCAAAAAGGAGACATCTACCATGGTGACAGCAGGGGTGTTTTTGTTTTACTTGATCTCCCTTCTTCCCCTAAGTGTGCATCTTACATTTTAAGTTTATTTATTTTATTTTGGTACCTGAGATCAAACTCAGGACCTTGCACTTGCCTGACAGGCACTTAAGCCACTGAGCTATCTCCCCGGCCCCCACGGTTAAAATGTTTTAATGGATACTCCTTGCCCCCCTTGTCCCTTAGCCTTACCCATCCCATGCTTCATTGATCTTGCCTCTGTGTAGACGAGAAAAACAATCACCAAAACATTGCTTTGGATACTTTTGACCACAAAATAAAATGAATAACTCAACTCAAAATAGTATGAACCTCTGACATATATAGTTTTACATAGCAAGCATTCCAATGACAAGGCAGTTCCTGGCTTGGTTAATACAGTGGTTCGGTAATAACACCGATGTCCAGGTTCTGTAGCATCTGTCCTGCCTCTCACTGTCCTATTGCAGGTTGTCCTCTGGGGCTGGCTTCCTTCCTTCTGAGCCCAAGATGGTGCTGAACAACAGCTACTGGCTGGATGTGGGGGTACAATGCCTATAATCCCAGCACTGGGGAGGCTGAGGCAGGAGGAACACCATGAGCTTTAGGCCAGCCTGGGCTACGTAATGGAGTTCAAGACCATACTGCGTTATTGTAGTGAGACCCTGTCTCAAAACAAACAATAAAAACCACAAACAACCCCCTCCAACACACACAAACAAACCTCCTCAAACCCAGGAACTAGAGACAGAAAAGGGAACTTTCTATCTTTGTTATTGACAAGAACCCATGAAATCTTTCCTATCAGCCTCAGCAATTGTCCTCTCACCTGTCATTGGCCAGAACCTCTCACTTGTCATTGGCTTCTGGGAATGGGAGCATCATGATTGGCTCAGTTTTTGATCAATCAAGATTTATCTTTTGACTGGCCAAATAGCTCAGCAGACTAAAGCACCTGTTTAGTCAGAGCGCTGGCTCTGATTCTGGCTTGCCATGCTGGCCCTGCCCCTGGGGCATACTGAGATGGCGATTGAGACTGGGCCTGGTGGTGCGCACTTGTAATCCCATCGCTTACAGGAGGCTGAAAGCAGGAGAATCACTATGAGTCTGATCTACATAGTGAGACCCTGTAGACCCTGGCCTTCTTCAGTTCTTCACTAGTCTTAGAAAACTTGCCAGAATACTGCTTCATACTGTTCTGCAGCAAAAACTGTGCATTCTGTATTTGGTTCTGTGTTCCTGTAATGGTAATGAGCTGCTGTTCGGATCCTTCTAAGGGCTCATCAGGTTTTGGTTTTGTTTTGTTTTTTTGCGGAACCGGGGATTGAACTCATGCCCTTGCACTTTCCAGGGAAACGCTTATTCCACTGAGCCATCTCCCCAGCCCAAGACAGTTCATCAGTTTTGATAGAAGCTCCTTGTTTAATCTGCTGACCATCTTTGCCAATAATAGATCCAACCAAATCTTTGGGAATAGTTACTTGTGTAGTAATAATAGATCTCATGTCATCATAATCTCTTCCAGAAGGAGGCAGGAGATGCTTACCCTGACCAGGAGCCATTCTGTCAAACTACCTCTTCCCCGCATAGGAAATCCTACTGGCCATCCACGGTGATCATCAAAGATCATGGTGAAGCCACCATGGTTGGAAGTTTCATCATAAAAATTGAGATTATGAGGCTATGCACGTCCTTTGATGGGAGACTCATAAGACCAAGGATGTTTCATCATAAAAATTGGGATTATGAGGCTGTGCACGTCCTTTGATGGGAGACTTAGATACAAGATCAAGGATGATCTTTGTGTACTCTACAACCCTGTCAGGCTTTCCTCCAATAAGAACAACTCTGTCAGTGGAATAGGGACAGCATTCTTGGAAAAGCTTGATTGTTGTCTGAGTGTTCTCTTGAAGTTCTTTTATCTTCGGACCTCTGACCCCAGAAATTCCTCCTGCCAGACTTTGATGAATTAACAGGCTCAGCTTACAGTAAGAGTCACTTCCTTTTTAGTGCTGGTGATGTAAGCATTCCACAGCATCAGATTGGAGCAGAGCTGACTGGTTGCAGTGGGTGACGGTAACTGCAGGCCCTCTTCCAAGGTAGGGATGATTTTCTTCAGAATCTCTCCAATTGTTTCAGTATCAGCACTGATATTCAATATGTGCTCAGGACCGCTGCTGTCTGAGAGTGAAACACTAGCATTGTAGTCTGTATGGAGAGCCTTAATGTTCTTGCCTCCTTTTCTAGTCACTGCCCCAGCACTCTTGCTCTGAAGCAGAATTTGTAATTCAGCCATCTCATCGCTGTTTCTAGATCTTTTAAATGCTTGCTCCTCTTCCACATCTTCTGCAGGACATTTACGAAATTCGCCACTGGTTTCAGTGTTGGGGAAGGTTTCCTCTGGCTGCTTAGTTTCCATTTTCTTGTGCTAAATGGACACAGCAATCAAGTGGGATCAGGCGGGACGCCAAGGTCAGTGTAGCAGAGAAGCGGAGGGTAATGGTGGTCGCACTTCACCCCGAGTGCCCTCCTCCTCTCTTGTTTGCCCACTCAGGATGATTTGTCTTTCTGAGAGGGTTTTTGTCTGGAAGCCACCAGTAAAGAAAGGCAAGAAGAAGAAAGAGTTGTTATAAAACTAGGGCTCTTAAAAAAAAACAAAACAAAAACTAAGGCTCTTCTAGCAAGGAAGAGGGGGAGGAGTAGATATCTGAGGCAAGCACCTGGCTCTTCAATCACAGACCCCAGGCCCAGCTTGAAGTTCTTTGTGCATTTTTCTTCATATTTATTTATTTATTTATTTATTTATTGGCAGAACCGGGAATGAACTCAGGCCCTTGTGCTTGCCAGGGAAGCACTTACTCCACTGAGCCATCTCCTCGGTCCCTTTCTTCACATTTAAAAACAGCACTGTGGAGAGGTCCACATGGCAGGGCCCTGAGGCCTCCTGCCAACAGCTGCTTGGAGAAGCCATCTTGAAAGAGAAGCTTCCAGCCCGCAGGAGCTTTCACTGCGGCTTAAACCTCACAAGAACACAGGTCTGTTTACTCAAGCCACTCCCGAATTCCTGACACGCTGGAGACCACTACAAAATGGCTCTGAGGAGGATTTATATTAACCAATTGGTTTTTCATGTAACTGGCTTGTAAGTCTGCCCAGAGCAGGGCCTCTTGTCTGGAGATGCAAGCCCAGAATGGCAGTGAATCCCTGGCGCCACGAAGGGCAAGACCAGACCACAGCTAGGGACACCTGGCTCCAGCCTCAATTAACTTGGTAAGGAATATGACTGCAGGCATGGTGAAAGCCTTCCTGGAGGCAGCATAGTTCTTTTAAACTACTATGATGTATTACTTAGAGAAGTCCTTGTAGGGACTCCCAAGTCCCATTCAACACAGATTCCTGCCTTTCTTCATTATTCCCCACCCTTGGTCTGATAACTACATAATATGGGTCATCCAGAGAAGATGTTTTAAGCAGACAGTCTCAAATTCTGTGAGAGGGTTTCTGAACCTCCTGCAGCCCCCCATTTTTTTTTTTTTTTCCAGCACTGGGGATTGAACTGAGGCCCTTGCGTTTGCCAGGGAAGCGCTTATTCCCCTGAGCCATCTCCCCGGCCCCTCCTGCAGCCCTTTTATGTAGCCTTTGCCATCCACTTGTTTTTTGGGAGATTGTGAACCCGATCAATCTGCAATAGCTAACAGATAATATTAATGCAATACTGACATACCGGAAATGTAATAACAATGTTTTAAAAACTATTTTTGGAATGATCTATTACACAGCAGTAGATGCAGGCCTTCAAAGGGACATCAGATTCAATGAGGTACAGATTGAATATCCCTTACCTGAAATGCTTGGGATAAAAGTATGTAGGAATTCACATTTTTTTTTAACTGTTGGAATGTTTGCACATACGTAATGAGATATTTGAGGTTGGAACCCAAGTGTAAACAAGAAATTCATTTATGTTTTATGTACACACTGTACACAAAGCCTGAAGGTGCTTTTTTATGTATTTGGTACAGGGTCTACAGGGTCTTATTATGTACGTTGGACTCATGGTGATTCTCCTGTTTTCAGCCGCCCAAGCACCACCATGCCGTCTCAGTCACCGGCTCAGTGTGCCCAGAGGGCAGGGCTGGCCTGGCAAGCCAGGAATCGAACTCCGGCCTCTGTGCTCTGCCTAAGCAAGCACTGTAGTCTGCTGAGCTATCTGGCTGGCTCTTGAAGGTGCTTTTTTTATACAATACTTTTAGAATGCCTTTATTCTGATTGTGACTTGTCATAAGACCAGGTGTAAAATTTCTCACTTGTGGTGTCACATTGGCATTAAAAAAAAAAAAAAAAAATGGGGCCGGAGAGATGGCTCAGTGGAGTAAGCGCTTCCTTGGCAAGTGCAAGGACCTGAGTTCGATCCCTGGTTCCGCAAAACAAAACAAAACCAAAACCAAAAAAAAAAAAAAAAAAAAAAAAAAAAAAATCTCAGATTTTGCCTGTAATTCCAGCTACTTGGGGGTTGAGGCAGGTTGGCAAGTTTGAGGCCAGTCTGGGAAAATTAATTGATTAATTACTAATGACAATTTAAAAAATAAGACAAGGGAATAAAGCTAGGGACTTGAGAGGCTAGAGGACTGTCCTTGCTTCCCTATCAGCTTTCTGATTTTTCAAGGAGACTGGGCATATCTGTTGGGTGCCTTTTATAGTGTCTGACTGTGACCTGCTTGGGAAGATCGACTGCAGATAGAGTTTCCTGCCTGTGCTTTGTAGATGACTGATAGGGCTGCTGCTGTCAGTGACCTACACCTCCTCAGGGCTTTGGAGAGGCAGTCACCAAGGCCTTCTTGCGTGGTTCTGGGATAGCGTCATTCAGAGTGGCTGACTTCTGGGCCTGCAGGCCTCAGAGAAGCAGGGTTGACAGTAGTCAAGAGCTGTCATAATAGCTCAGGGGAGTCTAAGATCATCACCTGCTACTTGGTGAGCTGTTTCTCTTTTAATCACAAGTAACCTTTTGTCTTTAGAATAGCTCTGATCTAATGGGGGGTCAGGACTTCTAGTCTTTCTCCCAAGTTTATTTTGGAGCTTTTAAATGTTAGTATAGCTGTAAAGCATCTCTGATTAGGGGTTCAACTACACGGCCAACAAAGGCTACAGATGCAAAGGAAAGTTTTCTAGAGAAGTAAATAAAAAGGAGAATGAAATAATTGAATTGGCTCACCCATGGTGTCTAAGATTACCCAGGGTTCCTTGGGGAGATGGTGATGTCTTTAGTCAGGTGCTTCACAGGTTCCTCTGGGCCTCTTCAGTCATCAGAGCAGGAAACAAGGATTGGGCTGGCCTAGCCACTTTCTGGGAGCAGGACAGTCAAACTTCCAGTGCAGAGTCAGGCACATCAGCTGCCTTATATTCAGAGCAGGGACCAGGTGGAAGCTTGGTGAAGTCGTGTGAGCCTGGACAATTTAACAAAACCCCATCATAAGATAAAATAAATGGCCAGGTATGACAGTGTATACCTGTAACCCCAGCACTGAGGAGGCTGAAGAAGGAGGTTCGCTCTGAGTTCAAGGCTAGTTTTTTATACTAAGCCTCCCAAATCCACAGTGGACTGGACATAGCACATTGCAATGTGACCACCCACATTTCAGCTGCTCAGCAGTCACATAGGGCTAGTGGCCTAGAGGGTGGGTGGCCAGCTCTGGGCTTCAAAGTGTGCATCACCAAGTGAGACCAATCAGAGAGGTCTGGAGACTGGCGCCAGGGCACACAACAGGGTCTGACTCCACATTCTGAATGGCATGTGTCTTAGTTACTCTTCTTTCGTTGCTGGGACAAATACCTGACATTCAAAATGAAGGAAGGAAAGGTTTATTTAGCTCACAGTTACTGGAGGTTTCAGTCCAGACTCAGCTGGCTCCAAGGCAGAGCAGCACATAGCAGAGGGCAGCCTTTCATGGCAAAAAGAAGTTCAAAAAGAAGAGGTAGTCACAGCTTAAGCAGCTAGCTTTTCTTCCCTCCTTACATTGTAATGCAAATTACCTGCCCCAGGGCAGGTGCAGCATCCACACCCACAACAATCAATCACAAACTCCAGAAGCCGCCCCAAGACTGCATGAGGCTTTGGGGGGACACCTATACACAAACTATAACAGCATGCCCTAAGCTAGTTCTCAAATTTTAGAAAATAAGATCATCATTCAGCAGTTCTTTAAAGTGAGTCCATAGCTGGGCGTGGTGGTTCCCCCTTGTAATCCCAGCGCTCAGAGGCACAGCCAAGAGAATTGTTACAAGTTCAAGGCCAGCCTGGGTTACAGAGTGAGACCCTGTTTCAAAAAAACAAAATCAAGGGCTGGTGATTTAGCTCAGCGGACTAAGCACCTGCTTAGGCAAGTGCAGGGACTGGGGTTCCATCCCCAGCACCACATGCCCTGTTCGCCCTGCCCCCGGACACACTGAGCCAGTCACTGAGACTGGATGTGGTGCCGCATGCCTGTAATCCTAGCATTTGGAAGGCTGGAAACAGGAGGATCACTACAAGTGCAAAATGCATAGTGAGACCCTGTACGAAATACATAAAATAAAACAAACAAAACCCCCCAAACCAAACTGAATATAAAATATGAGTCTCAGACCTGCTGCAGATGTGTGTCAGAACCTCCTGGCTTGGGCCCAGGTGTCCACATTAACAAGCTCCCAGGATCCTGCTGTGTGTCTCTCAGGAGGATCCCATTCCCAGGCACATTTGGATTCATTTGGGGAGCTCAGTGAAATTCCTGTGCCAGGTGACACCCCAGCACAAAGAAATCATAACCTCTAAAAGTAGGACAAGATATGTGAATAAATAAAGGAGGAAGGTATCAGTATACCTTTAAAAACAACTTTATTGAGGTCTACTTTGTATCTACTAAAACACACCCACTTAAAGTGCACACTTTGACAAGCTGGGACCATGTGAACAGTACTACAACCACGATGTGAAACATTTTCATCACTGTAAAACATGGCCTAGATTAAAAGATGTTTAGACTATGTCCATTTGCAGAGACACTCTTTGTTATTTTTAGCATTTCCTGTCAATGGTACCGTGTGGAGTGCACTTTTCTGAGTGTTCATTTCGGGATGCAGCCTAACTTTTTTCATCTAGTTACATGATTTCATGCCTCAGAATTTCATTTTATAAATTGCTGAGCAGCATTTTATTTATAGATGTATCACAGTTTGTTTACCCATCAGTCAGCATATTTATTTATTAAGAATTTAGGACAGGGTCTACAAGGTCTCACTACGTACATCGGACTCGTAGTGATCCTCCTGTTTTCAGCCTCCCAAACTCTGGGATTACAGGCGAGCGCCACCACGCCCAGTCTCAGCAAGCCCCGGGGGCGGGGCCAGCACTGCCTGCCAGGGATCGAATCCCAGCCACTGTGGGCTGCCTAAGGCAGGTGCTTTAGTCCACTGAGCTATCTGGCTTACCCTAGTCAGTCAATTTTAGTCTCCTCAGATGACGTCAATGCCTGAACAAGGCTACGTGTTTGTTATGAGCCCGAGGCTGTAAACTCACACAGGTCTGTGATCCTATAAATGTATGATCT